GTGTGTGTGTGTGTGTGTGTGTGTGTGTGTGTGAGAGAGAGAGAGAGAGATGCTTTGGCATCAGCTGCTCACCTGAAGTTGGAGTCGAGACCCACGCAAGACTCCCTGGAAGCAAAGCCTGTTGAACTGCTTCCGTAAGATTCCAGCCAAGAAAACGCTGTGGAGCCAGTTCTACTGTTAACCCACAGGGCTTCCCTAAGGAGCAGAGCAGGGGCTGGAGACAGGAGAGGTGCCAGTTGGTGCAGTGGTGAGTTCCCCACTCAGTGTGGCAATCATGGTAGCAAGGGCTGCCGCCCGCTCACTCAGCCTCCACTCTTCCTCTGAAGACTTTTGTCCTTCTATGGAAGGAGCCCTGAGGTGTGGGGAAGCCCAGCAGCCATTCCACGGGAGAAAGAGGAGGCTGTCTGCTCCCATCAAGTCACACAGATGTGGGCACCCTAGGGAGCCGCGCTGCTCTGTGCCATAAGGTCGCCGGGAGTTTGAATGAACTCTGTGACCGTGGGTTGACTTGGCTGGTAGGGTACACAGACTATAAACATCCATGTTACATAAAGAAATAATAACATGACCAATACTGTAAGTGCTATTTCTTTAAAAAAAAAAAAATCTTTCCCAATAAAGCTATTTTTAAAAATCCATCTTGGAACAGAGAAGTCAGCAGAAGAGGAGGGGGCTTGTTTTAGAGGAGGTGGTCGGGGCAGGGCTCTGGAGCCATGATTGGCAGGTCAGGAGGGACAAGGAGCATCCTGTGGGGGTGGGAGTCGAACCTGGCAGGGTCCTGAGGAGGAGAAAGAGGAAGAGCCGCATGGAGGAGGGTGCTGGGATGGAGAAGGGTGGTCTGGGTTCTAGGGTGATTGTGTGAGACAGACTGGCACTGACCACTGCAGCGCCATCTTGGTAACTGCTGAGTGACCTGCCTCCGTCCCCCTCCCAGCTCAGAACCTCCCACTAGTGATTGATTTTGGAATGCACTCTCATGTTCTCGAGCTCAGAACATTGTGATCATTAATACTGTTCCATTTGATGTTGCCACCAGGATATTACTATTTTTATTTTATTTTATTAATCAGGTTGTCATAATCAGTGCTCTAAAGAATAATAAGACCCCAGGGGCTTAAGTGGAGAGCAAATGTTTTGAGAATGATGAGGGCAATGAACGTACAAATGTGCTTTACACAATTGATGTATGTATGGTTGTGATAAGGGTTGTATGAGCCCCTAATAAAATGATTAGAAAAAATAAGATTAATTAGATTAATAAGATTAATTCTGCTTTCTGTTTCTGTCCACGCTTGCTTAAGTCCTAGACAAATGAGAACTGAGTTTTTTTTCCCTTTAAAGATGGACTGGAATGGCCACTCAGGACTGCAACCCAAGACTCACTTTTAGAAGTCTGGTTATAACGGAAAAAGAGACTCTTCGAAATTATCAAGGCATTACAGTAGCTGTCGTTTATTTGAGCCTGCAACCTGACCTGGGTCGGCCTGAGTAGGATTGGACTCGGACTGCAGTGCATTTAGCCAGGGGAGTGACGTGAGGGCCCTGGGGCTGTTGGGCGGTGAATAGACATTGCAGGTGGGATGGCCCAGGCCGAGCGGGGGCAGTGTAGGTGGCAAAGAGAAGGGGGCAGACCTTGAAGGTGGCGCACGGGGTGGAAGGACGAGACGTGGGGAGAAGGAGAGCGAGGGAGCCTTCCACCGTGTGAAGGATGGCCACGTGTGAGGATTCCGGCTTGCGCTGTTGGGTGGGTGGTCAAGCCGTTTACCAAGGAGGCCCAAGAGGAAACAGGTTTGGGGAGGAAGGAGCCAGGTTGTGGTTTCAGTGAATCATGACAGTGAACAGGTAGACAGGTCTGCTCACAGGGCCCTTCCTGGGGGCTTGAGGGCTGGTAGGATGAAAAGCCCGTTTACAGACTAGGGGCCTGGGCGAGGTTCAGCCAAAGGGCCCCATGCTTCTCTGGGTTGAGGGCTGACCTCGGGGGACTGCGTCCACAGGCTCCCTGGCACCTAGACACCTAGAGTGTTTGGCCGGTTGAAATCAGCACCAGTAGGAGCTGAGGCCGAAGAGAGTGAGGTGGGGGCATTTACCACCCAGCTCTCTCCTCCTGTGAGGTCCCTATAGGTCACAGCACCTCTCAGGGACCCCTCTTTCTCCAGAGTCTGGTCATCACTCTCTGCCCATCCTCTGGGCCTCAAGGAAGCTGGCAGCCTGCTGTTGCTAGATCTGTTGGTATATCACCCTCCCCTGTGGTTTACCAGAGGGGCGTCCTGGGGGCCTAGCGGTCCAGAGTGACAGTCTCGGGACCGAGGGGGCAATGCTACCCTGTCCTGTAGGGTGGCCATGAATGGGCATTGCCACCTTAATAGTGAGTGTGCTTTGTTTTGTTGTTGTTGTTGACCTGTACCCTGCTTACCTCTTGTCAAGAATCCTATCAGGAAACATCCCTCACATGATCCATTTGGAGAGAGCCCTCAGTTTTCCCGAGGAGGCTCTGCCTGGCAGTCTTTTTTCTTCCGAGTAAGAATATCACTGTATTTTCTTCCAGACAATTCTTCTATTGATTCAACACGTTGTCGAGTTAAGATAAAACAAGGTATAGGACTGGATCACTTGGCCCTTTCTCTTCAGATCCCCTCCCCGTTCACAATGCTGGCATCTCCTAGCGGCCAGCAGCCTTCTGGACCTGCAATTGGGCTCCACACAGTCAGACCTCAGCATGGCCTTCTCTGTGGTTTTAGCTTCTTCCAGAAAATTGGCTTCGCCCACCGTAGCCACCCTGCTTTTGATCTTAGCGCCTCTTTCCTTGTGTGTACAGGGCACCCTTCTGATACTGGGTCACTTTGTGAGGTGGATGCTTGCCACACTTCTTACACAGTCTTCCGGGTTCTAGGGACATTGACCGTCTTTGCAGAGACGTGGTCTACGCAGCGTCAACGGGAACTTGAGCGGCTGCTAGCCTCACCTCGCTGCGCTGGGGCTTGCCGGCATTCTGGCCAGAGCCCGCATACTCGCCATCTTCTAAAGCAGTGGTTCTCAACCTTCCTAATGTCGTGGCCCTTTTGTACAGGTCCCATGTGGTGACCCCCAAAATTATTTTCATTGCTACTTCATCACTGTAATTTTGCTACTGTTATGAAACGTCATGTAAACATCTGATATGCAGGATGTATTTTCATTGTTACACATTGA